CATTGTTGCTGACGGAATGTTAGGGCTGGTAATGTATGTGTTTGCGTCCGTTAACATGTTGTAAACATGTGATAACGTTTGATGACAAAACAAATGTTTTTAATAATTATGTCCATACCGTTTTTCTACAAAAATAAATTATTAAGTAAAACATATTTGGTAAGTAATGTATGCCATGTTTATATTTATAGTAACAGTTTTATCAATACATTGTTTCTACATATACCACAATCTATATAAATGTTATTCTTTAAAAGGGTTTCTATTAAAAACCTAAATATCACCAACACAGAAAAAACCTGTAGACTAAACGTATTTCCATTTACCTGGATGAATTTTTACTTAAATATTCCCTTAGAATTTTTAGATTTATTTCCTACTTAGGTACTTAGGTTTGCTGCTACAGGGAAGGTAGTGACGTGTGTTTTTGTTTATTGAAATATTACTAACTTAGTATGGAACACACAAAATTGCCAAATTCGATTAAAATATACCCATAAACAAGCGAACTACAGCAGTTTATTAAATCTCCACAAAAATAACAAAGGGCATTAAAAATTTACAATTTGTTGAATTATCCCCATAACCGTTAGGCATACAACAACGCTTAAATGTAAAAAAATATAAATTTTTAAGCTGAAAAAAACTTTATTTGGAAAGAAATTTTGAGATTTTGAGTTTTAGGGTCAAAAATGGAAACATGCCGTTTTTATCACATAAACCCCATCCTCATAGTTTGAACATGCTGGTTCGCATACTCATAGTATGAATTTTAACGGATAGTGTTGGGGTCTGTGGAATTTAAAACGAACAAGTCAATCTAGGTCTTATCATGAGACCTACGGCAATAACTTATACCCTATATGGGAAATTCGCTAAAAAAATGTTTAAGAGTATAGGCCTTACAGATTTAGGTAGACTGAATAGCTCGCAACACCTACTAAACTTCGGTTAGTATTTTATAAATATATGTTAAGATTTACTAGAGGACCTTGTGCTGTTTACATAAGTCCGCAGCGTTGATTTTTACCTATCAATACAGTCAATACCTATCTTGAACTCAACTGATTCAAACTATTGATATCTAAAATTAAAGCCTTTATTTCTAGGAGCACTTTAAGACCAAGACATAAAAAGAAAAACTAAAATAACAATGGAGATACGTATCATTGATTGAAGAAGAGTCCTAAAATAATTATTTTGATACGTCCTACTTCAGGTATGTCCGATCTTAATAATAAATAACTCAAATAAAAGCTGGTATTTCACTGAAGGTTCTTAGGCCAAAATATAGGGGATAATGTAACTAGAACTAGTGAAATAAAATACTGAATTAAAAATTATAGTGTTTATTGTGAGAATTTGAAAAAATATCTCATTTATATTTTTTGGTCGAGTTACACAGTATATAAACGAATGATAATGATTGATGACAAATCTGTGCTTGCATACCTTTAATATTATCCAAAAATGAAAATAGAAGAGCTAATCGAACTCGGAAAAGGAAACCCAAATTTTAATCCCTCAAGAAATGGACAGGGAAGAACTATATGTCAGATAAATGTATGCCCATGCTTGGTGGCAAATCTGTGCGGGCATACCTTTAATGTATGACCAAAACTATGAAAATCGGCCGGGTAGAAGAGACGAACCGACTCAGAAAAGCTCGCGTAACTTAAATAGAAAAGAATTAATACGCTCAATGTCCTTTAAACTTAAAAATTGAAGCTAACAAGCTCTTCGAAACTATGGTTTATTAACTACATAAAAAAACACTTGGCAATACATAAGATAAAATAATCTACTATTGTATGTATTAGTTTTCCTGCCTCTTATGCGTATCAAAATTTTATGTTGTCTACAATGGTTAAAATTAATGATTGGAACGATATCATATAACATATATGAGTGAGAGTATTATGTGCCAGATATTGATATTTAACGTTACAAGCATAAATAGCCTTACTATAAAACCTTGCAGTTTTATACATTATTTTTAATACGTGGTTTGGTTCAATTATATACAAAAAGCTGATAGTTAAGTGAAAAGTAACCTTAGCATACAAGTAGGGAAGATAATAAAAAAATCTTAAATTGTTTAACAATATAAAAGGATTGGTTTTAAGTAAGTTATGCAAGCTAAAGCTTCTCTTTAATGTAAATCCTGACATTTTCTTTACCTTTCTTTGCGTGGGATATGTAAATTTCTATTCGACTAAACATACAACTTCCATTATTTTCGTTTTAAAATGTCGTACAGATTAATTTAGACTAGATTATAATACCCCAGCGGCATCAAACCTCCAGACTAAGCCAAATTAAATTTGCCTCATTTGATTTTTACTTGGATATTTTCCTAAATATGTCCAATTTATTTGCTATCAAAATTTATTTTCTAGTTGGGTTAGTTTAACAAATACTTAACTGTTAATGTATTTGGAAAGATTATAAATAGGGTTTAAAGTAAAACTTAAGTAGGTAAAATAAATGAATGGGACAAGTTTTATTAACATAAACCGGGAAACTACAACAGTCTAGTTATGTTCTATAAAAATCGCGTTTAGAGTTTACATTTTTTGTGTTTTTAAATGCACTTTGTATTTATTAACCATACAAACCACTTTTAAATACAATTTTCTTTTGTATTTTGAGCTTTAAAAATTGCCCAGAGAGATATTTGGAAGTTCTATGACTTAAGGGTTAAAAATGACAAACCCCGATTTTTACTACATAAACCCCACACATAGCTCTGTTCCCATAGTCACTCATGCTGGTACTCTTAACTCATTCGCAAATAGATGTAACTTTTTCATACCTTTGTACCAAGTTTGATCGAAATGGGATCATTTTTACTCGAGTTACTGCGCTAATGGGCAGACATATAATACATTTTAGCTTATGGTGTTTTTGGTCTATGGGGACATCGAAACGCGGAAGTGTTTTAGACTTGTGACAAGGTCTTACAATGAGACTTACGGTAATAGCTTATCTCCTAATATGTGGGAAATTCACTAAATACATATGGAATATCAAACCCTTTGGCAAAATGTGATGTTCATGAGAAATTCTTCTAAAGAATTGTTAATATTATATTAGTTTATAGATTAAAGAGTTTGGTTATCAAGCATTTATAATTGGGTTATAACTTAAACATATATGTCCAAAATGTTAAATTAAAATTTCCTCTTTACGTACTTAATTAAAGAACGTCTACATAACTAGGAATATGATAGAAAATAATCCCTTAAATAATATATTAATTTCTTTTATTTTTAGCAGGCCAATGTCAACGATTATTTTTTATTATTTTATTATTTTTTGTTTATTATTTTTGTTTATTATTTTTGTTTATTATTTTGTTTTTTTTTATTAAAAAAAACTAAAAACTACCAAATTACGGGAGTTCACAGTGTTTTGTGGTAATAATGAAATAATATATAGTATTGGAATTGGAAATCAGAAATAGGTCAAGTAATTTGTTTTAAATGAAGAATTTAAGGTATTTTATTAGTTGTGTCGTTACATGAAAGATAAATTAAACTGCTAAAGTTGATTTCCTATAAATAATAAATCAATACTTCTGGGTATACCTTTTGTTTAAGATATTGTATATACATGTTTTACTTGGTTTCGCGATGGGTCGAAATAATATAAATTACCTAAAAAATCACCGATTATTATAAATAAATAGTATTGATGGAAATTCCCTAAACCACCCATAACATCGATATAAAATACAATTATATATATAAATGGATTTAGTCTTTTACTTTTTGGATTTTCTTAGGGATTGATCGTCTTAAATTAGGATATAATTCTACAAATATTTCAGTTGTTTACAGTAACTACACTCCACAACACAGTAAATATTTTGACAATATCCGCCGTGTTTGGATAGCGCTAACGACCGGAGCTGGGTGTGTCCGAGGTATCTATATGTAAACAGCTCTGAGTTATTAAAATGTGTAACTTAACAGATTAAAAATATGTATAGTTAAAAGAGTGAGTAAATAATAAACTAAGTAGCTAAAACTGAGGTTCACGTTATAAACGGGCATTTAATTAATGATTAAATAAAAAAGTGAAAAAAGGACTGTATCAGTTTTTCAAATACTTGGCTGAAATAATAAACTGTTAATCATCCTGTGATAAGAAAATAGTCTTTTCAAACGTGTTTAGGCACATTTGACACGTTTGGGATTGTACAAAAACAGAAGATAAACATTTAAAAAAACATTCTATTTTTATAGGAGAATTCTAAAGGTGGAATCTTCAAAAGCTGGTCAGCTTAAACGGCAGTACTAATTTTGATATTACTGATTTTGTGATTTGAATTGTATTTGCTTACAAAAAAAAATTTAAAAGGAAATTGATTACTTTAAAAACTTCAGTACCCTGAAAGGGATTTATTAACTAACTGGCGATGATGCTTGTATGTGAAAAATGGTAAAACTTAATGCTCATGTACCTAATATTGTGCTCTGTTAATAAGATTGTTGTTAAAATTAAGAATGAAAAGAGAAAAACAGAAATTATGGAAACAAAAAAGGGCTGATTTAAAATTATATGGAATTAAAAGATAAATTTAACTGAGTCCTATATTTTTAGCGTATAAAAAGTGGAGTATGATTAAAATGGTTATAAAAGTGTTTTGTTTTTTAATCAAACAGTTTCCGTATATTTTAGTCATGTTCTTTTTTATCAGTTTATTAATTAGTATTAGGTGAAAATTTAGTTGTTTTTTTTATAAAACCGTAAGTGTTTTTTATCAAACAGTTTGTGTGTTGGTTTTAATGATAGAGTTTTAATCAGTTAGTTATTATTCGGAGTGAAACGTGTTTGCTGCTAATATAACTAATGTAGCTGCTAATATGCTCTTAATATAGGACACATTTCACCCGTTGGCTTAACCTTTTACTTAGAGAAAAATAAATCCACACAGAGTGTCTTATCTGACTCCAGAGTGGTTTACCCTGCTTCAAACCACGTGTTGAACTCACCAAAATCAGACGCGCTCCTCTCTTAGTCAAACACCGCACTGGAATGGACGATGGGAGCGTCTGGGTTGCGTTTTGTACGGGCTCAACCCGCGTGCGCGTGTCCATCCTCCTCCCACTGCTGTCCCTACCCTACCCTGCAACTATTACACCCTCACAATCCTTCCAGGAGCCTTCTAGGCGGAGTGCCGCTGGTAAACATCCTTGTATCTACCTCCTCTCGGGACGTATCATTTGAATAATGGGATTGGATCTGAGCGGCTTAAAATCGAGATTTACTGCACTTGATTTAACTGGTAAACAAAATGGGTGTGGTGATAATCTATGGAGAAATTATAGTGCTTATCAAAAAGAGGAAAGATTTTCAATTTCCACTCAAGTAATGCTTTTAAACGCGCTCCTTAAAAAAGACCCCTTCTCAAACCATTATAATATATTTTACGTATAAACACTAAAACGTTTATTTAAAATAGCAATATTGTCTTTTATTTATGTTTATATTTTTTTAATTGTAGACTGTGTAACAGTTAACTATCATAGAAGTATGTGATTCGGGGCGGGATTAAAACTGTAGTAGCCTACAAAAGAGACTACAAATATATAGACAACAAAAGACAATTTTGACGGTCTAAGGTAAAACCATTATTGATTACTATACCAGTGATCCGGAGGCTAAGCAACATAAATATATGTGAATTACCTGGACATTGCTATATCCATATACATCATAAAGCCCAAAGTACCCATGAACTCTTGATAAAACTACAAGTCACACCCCATAAAACGATATACTTCTCGTCATGACGAAAAACCTTGCACAAAACTATATCTATATTGCCCTTTAAGGTCGTAATTGCTTTATAAGGGGAACTTTCTATATACCTACCTAATGTTCAAAATACCTCAGCTGTTCTTTTTTTGTACGCTATTCTTTCAATTTTTTACCTTATTAAAATCAGGTGTGATTATTTGTTTGTATTACTGTATTCAGTTTAGTTTATTTCAGCTCAACCTAACCACATCAATAGTTTTATCAATATTTAGGAAGTCAAACGAAGTGAAGCCCGTGGGTAACAGCTAGTCATAATATAATAAGTATTCTTTTTTAAAGATTTCATCTAATTACACATTTACATTATTGTATTAAACATATTCAGGATTTTATATTTAGATTATCAAGATAGAGAGATATTTTTTTTTTTATTTTTTTTTTTACTCTAGTAAATAAATAGTAGTATGTTCAATCTATTGGATGAAACACAAAATATGTGATAGTATTCCAAACTAGAGTTTTTATTAACTAGTATTATAAATGTAACATTTTGAACATAAGGTACTACATTTTACATGTGGAATCCAACCCTTTACTCAAAGATTCTCGTAATGTAAAAATGGTGGTCATAAAAACTTATACCATTGAGTGTACACGTGCATACTCAATGGTGTATTACACAATATACTCTACGTTTGACTGAAAACTATTCGATCTTAAGAAACAAAAGATAACAAAAAAAGAGTAAGATCTTTGAATACTTTTTCAGAGATTACTTTTGCTAGGGTTCTTCTGCTAGGACTGTTGACTAAAGAATAAAATAAATTTACTCTCTTGCTGAAATATTCAATTCAAAAAGTTAATTAAAAAGTAAGCTAACAATATTCAACAATTAATACTTCACACTTGCATTATGATGAATATACCCGATCGGCTTATTATAATAGGGATGTCAGCCGTTTCATAATATAGTTTATATCATGGTATAAAAGTGGTGGGTAGGAATATGTCTTACTGAACACTTCAATATATCACTAAGATAATGTGACACTATAACAAGACTGATGAAACTTTACCTGTAATACGTACCCCTTGTCCTTATAACCTTAACATGTAGGCCTATTATATTTGATGTTGGAAATCGACGTAAAATTAGTATGTTTTGTATAGAAACACTCAAAATATCACTTGAATATATACTGTCAACGGTACTTATACGTCGTTGAAAATATTTTCTTTGATGATAAAATTTAAATCTTACAAATGTAAGAATAAATATGTATTGTACAGTTTTCACAATGGTATAAAACGTAGTTATTTGGTTTTAATACTTTTCTATCGTGTAACAACTGTATATTTTAAGGTTATTTTACATTTAATTATCATTGTTTTCTTTTTTTTGTTACAAGAATTGTAAAAAAAACGTCAGATTGTTTTGAATATAAACATAACCTATGCTGGAGAGTCCATTTTATTTCAACTCATTTTTTTTGCCAACAAACTAAGTTTATGAGTCTAATTAACCCTTATCGTGTATTAATCCAATGAAGCGATATGACCTAATATAGGCATAAATGTTCATAGTTATTCATAAACAATGGAGAAATATTACTCGGATTCAATATTAACACGTGCCTTCATAACACGAATTTATTTAACAATCTGAACAAGCACAAATACTTATACTAGTCTAAATTAAATACTGATTCGGCAAATTCCAACTGACTCTACAAAAGGGGGGACAATGGATTCTAGGTAGAGTAAAGCCCTACATAAGCTGAAGTATAGACTGGGTCAAATGTTTACTTAGCAAAGAAACAACATCATTTTGCTCTCTGAGAATCTGTTTAAAATGTACCTGTATTCGTATGTAAAGTTGTTTCAGCCGTCCTCGGGATAATAGCTATTTTATATTAGTGACTTTTATTTAAACTAAATGTTAAATATTGAAAATGTTCCTAATTATTTCTGATAAGATTTGCTATGTTTAATTGATTGTTCATTTTACAAGCATTTCACAAAACCTTCCTGCTACTTGTACATCAGTTGTATCAATACTTCTATATTGTTCTATAAACAAAGCAATCTGTACAATGATTTTATGCAGGCACCTAGCTGGACAATGATCATCCCACACGGGTTAAGTTCTGTTTGTTTATTTATGACACGCTATGGTTCCGCGAAGCTATTCATTTAAACTGAAAAAGTCAAAGTTCAGATCCGTTGAAAGACTAATGCACACTATATTTGGAACAATTCCCATACTGGGTTTATTGGTAAATTTACTTTGTATATTTATAAGTGAAATAATACCGGAAGTAACGTTTTGTAAAATCGTTGTATACTGTGTACAATAAAAGCTATAATTTGGTAACGGTTAGAATTTTGATTCTGATAAAAAAAAGAATCCAAACGTATACAGGGTGACTGAAAAGTAACATATTCGCACCTTTTAAGATATTTAAAATCAATTTGCAGCAACCTTTTTAGAAATGAGGGGTTACAATAATTATGGTTAGTTTTGAAAGTTTTGCCCTATGGGTTAGCGGGGGTAGGGGGTAGTTCAAAATTTTCAAATGGCAAGTGTGTTATTTCAATCGTTTAGTTTTGTTAAGATCTGTAAAATAATACCAAACTCGACCATACTTGTCATTTGAAAACTTTGAGCTACACCCTACCACCACTACACCTAAGAGCAAAATTTTCAAAATTTACCATATATATTGTAGCCCCTCATTTCTAAGAAGGTTGACACAAACCGTTTCGAATATATATAATTGTTGAAAAGTTAAGGGGGGCAAGTTACTTTTCATCCACCCTGTATATATTAAAATGCGATGACGGACACCAACCCAGATTTTTGTTAATATTAAGCTATCAATTAATGATTCTAACCAACAAAAGGTTAATCTTAGATGGTAGCAAGACCAGGGCCAGGACAGTGATAAATCTACAAAAATATCAACCGCGTAAAACACAAATACCCCCGCCGCAGCAAACCTGCCGACTAAGCGAATTTCTATTTGTCTGAATTGATTTTCAGTTAAATATATTTTAATAACATTAGGTTTAACGAGTACCTAGGTTTGCTGCTACAAGGAAACTAATAAAGTGTGTTTTTGAGTAAAATATTGATAGCTTAGTACAAAATAAATAAATTTGCCAAGTTTGATCAAAATATACCCATAAACAAGCAAACTACAACATTTGACAATATTCTCCATAAGAATAACATGGGAATTTTAAATTTACAATTTCTTTAATTTTCTCCGTTACCAATAATCGAACAAAAATACTTTTATATACTAAATTATTTGTTTTTTAAGCTCTTTAAAAAGGTCTAAAGAGAAATCGGAAAATTTTGTGTTTTGAGGGTCAAAAGTGAGAAAAACCAATCTTTACCCCATAAAACCCCCCGTAAAGCCCCGTTCTCATGGTCCGATCGTGCTGGTTCGCGAACTTATTTAAGTTTATCCCGCTTTACACCTTTAAACCAAATTTCATCAAAATCGGACAAAAATTACTCAAGTTATCGCGTTCACGGACGTACATATATATATATATATATATTTATATATATATATATATTTATTTATATATTTATATTTATATATATATATATATAAATCTATATATATATATATACATATATAAAAATTTGAACGGATGGTGTTTTTGGCCTCTGGGGACATCAAAATGAAAAAGTAAATCGGTCCCGGGTCTAGGTCTTACCGTGCCATCTACGGTAATAGCTACTTCCCTATAGGGAAATTCGCTAAAAGCAAAAAACACCGATTATTTACTCTTTCTTGCTCATTTATTGTTCCTGCAAAATCATACCCGATGTCTGTTTCTGTTCACTGAAGTAATGTAACACTTAAAGGAGAGTTTATACGTAAATAAGCGGGGTAATCACCGTTATTAATTGGTTTAATGTTTTCACTGTTGGTAATATGTGTTTCATCTATAATATACCATGATAAAAAATATAACCAATACTACAATATATTAACTATTTTATAAATCAACTTATTTTTGTTATTTTTTAAAAGCCCAAATTAAACTAGTACTTAAATTGAACCGATTAAACACTTCAATGGTATAAATGCGCGAAGTACGTTTTTCACCGGGTTGTAATATAAAGCTGATCGAGTATCTCCAAAAACTACAGTTTCCATCTCTATGCATGAATCTATGCATGAAACATTTGTGTGTCTGTGCCCTCACCACTTACTTGTTGATTGCATTGTAAATCTATGACAAACTATAT